TTTGCATTCTTTCCATGGCTGATCCTACTATATATAAGCGGCTAGCGTGTGTCTGTTGGTGTGTGTGTGTGTTTGACCGGAAATTCATAGCTCGAGTCACAGTAACGATAGCGCAGTGGTTCTTACATATGTTATAGGGGGTGGGATGGGGACACAAGTGGTACGTGATAGGAACTGATAACGACTGATAATAGCTGATAAGAGGGGCTAGAAAGCGAGCATCGCCAATTTCGTTTTGCCGTTCATATTGGTAAAAGAGCGTCTATACTTACAAGTCTTATGTGGGGCGGTCCCGGGACATTGGTGGTACATGATTGGAAGCGATAGCAACTGATAATGGCTGATAAGATGCGCTAGAACGATAATAATTTTGATCGATTACCGTTGACTTGGCTCGCGTAGTTGATCACCAGAGCAACCATAACATTACAATTTGACTTGGGTGGATGGGACATTGCTTGGTGTTTTCGCAATTGTGTATGTTGTTTTCTTTTGTTGGTGGGTGCCAAACTGATAACGATTGATAAGGGCTGATAAGGCGCGTCAGAACGCAAAAGTCGTCAGTTCCGTTACGCAGCTCGCGCTGACACTAGAGCGTTCATACTTCCGAGTTCTATGTGGGGTGAGACGGGGACATTCTTGATAAGTGATTGAAAGTGGTTGCAGCTGATAAGGGCCGATGCGCGTCAAAACGCTAAAGTCGTGATCGCGTTACCTAGCTCGCGTTGATACTAGAGCGATCGTATAAATACTTATCACGAAGCTTGTTCTTTTTTTGGTGGGGGGCAGGATATTTGGTGCGGTAGCAGAAACTATAACAAGTGATAAGTTCCTGACTAAGCGCCTGGAAAAAAGCCAAAAAGTCGTCAATTCGTTTACTCAGACAATTTTTTCTTTCAATTTTCCGATTAGAATTTGCAATTAAACCTGAGATTGGTACAGTCTGTCAGTGAAAACTCGATTGACCTGTCGCTGGCGACCAGATACTAAAGAAGGCATACCTTTCTGGACTCTCTAAGGCGTCTGGAACGGATATTCGAAGAAATCTTGCCAATTTTGATCTCCGTTCTATATTACTGGGACGCGGAACCTTACTCATCCGACAGTAAGATCTCCCAGTCAGTATACATTCAGAAGTTGACGGTAACGCTGAAAGAAGCGGTAGCGTGGCTCAGAGGTGGATAAGATTTCCACACGTAATTCGTTAATGGAGATGAGAGCCGAGATCATTGTACTTAGCATTACCCCAGCGGAAGATGCGGTACGATAGATAAAAGACACGGCTGCTTGGTGTAAGGTGCACTCTAAAATGGAAATGGGACGATAACGATAACGGTATCATATCGAGCAGGCTGTACGTTGTTCATCTTTTTTCACGTGATCGCAATGGATGGTGCCGAGCAAAGCACTAAAGCTCTATGACCTCGTAACGTCCCATGGAACCCGATCGATCCCCACTGCGCCTAAGTCCGCCTAGGGTTGAGGAGGCGTTCGGGAAAATTTCGAAAACTACCCCAACCCCTCCTCAGGGGCCGATTTGCTTGAAGCGACTCTTCTCACTAGGCGAATTAAAAAAGTTGTTCAACCTTCCACAAAAACTCTTAAAAAGGATCCGGATACCCTACCCTCCACCTTATAAATCGTTTACAATCAGGAGTCGAGAAAAAGTCGCAGCTCAGTCGCACACGGTATGGGGATCAACTCCCATATACCGCACGCAATCCAGGCTAACCTAGCCTTCAGCCCTGAGTTAATTGCTACCGGATTTGTATGGGAGGACAAAAGTACTGAGTTGTATATCGGCTCTCCCCCCAAGTCACTGTATGGGGACTTAAGCCGTTTGGACAGAGCGAGCACCCGAAGTAAAGCGTGAATTATAATGTTCTGCTGTAGTCACGTACAATGCGCGACGCATTGACGCGCTGAAGTGTGTGCTCGCCTCCCACTATTCGTTTTCTCTGCGCTCTCTCAACGGAGAGAGAATATGTCGAGCCAACCCGCCAACTATACTGAGCGCCGTTCATGTAGGAGGTGGAGGATGGCACGCATACCAGAGTGGCCTCGCGCGTAGTATGGCGCGGCACCCGGGGATGATCTCCCTTGGCCTGCGCGCGAAGGAATGAGACTCTCCGCGCAAGCGAACGGACGCTGCGACGCTCATCCATCCTTGGATTGCTGCCTGGACAGCGGGGGTAGCCTCATTGTGAGCATAACCTATAGGATTGTTATTGCGGAAATCGCGTCGATGCGACGCGCATTGTACGTGACTACGGCAGGAACATCGTAATTTACGCTTACTTCGGGTGCTCACTCTGTCTAAATTGCTTATCTCATTGCATGGTAAGTCACTTGTAAAAGTGCCGTTACAAAGAAGCAGGATTGCATGGCGCATCCCAGACACCGAGCCACCCCTTTTGCATCCATAACATTCTGTTAGTAGCATTTCTTGTTGAATTGTGAATAATTTCAGAGCAACGAGATTCACGGAGTTGCATGAGATGATACCAATGTGCCAAAGCTCTTTATTAAGCAAACTAAACAGGACAGGAGGACCGCCCGAAATTCTGCAGGATCGACACAACACAACGACAAAAGCAGAAGGAGGACAGAAAAGCGAAAATACTGGCAATTGCATCGCGTTGGTGGTTAGCACGACCAAGTTCAATTTCCGTCGTTTGTTTGTTGCGCGATCCACTGTTTCACCGTTGGACAAGTCGCGATGGACACGTTTCGATCGAACGTGTAGATTTTATACTCAGTGTTTTGTGATACCCGTCCTCTCCAGGAACGAGAACCTCGCAACCGTTGTCCTCAAAAAAAAAATTTTTTCTTCTTTTCTTTCCTTATAGGTAAGAACGTCAATTGAAGCGAACCTCTCCATAGAAAAGGAAGGCCTTGCAGTCTGGTTTCTCGTGGCATTCCTTGAAACAATCTTCCAAGGTAACATCGTCGTTATAGTAGACCGCAGATGGATTGATGTTGACGTTGGTCAAACTTGCACCCTTGAATAGGGTGAAAGTGCAGGATAGACCGGGAGTCACCT